AAATCTCCATGCTCAAAGACATTCAAAAGCCATATCGACATGGTCCTGGACAACAGGCTTTAGATGATCCTGCTTGAGCAGGGGGGTTGGACCAGATGACCTCCAGAGATCCCTCCCAACCTCAAACATTCTGTGATTCTGTGAGCATAGCTTGAATATCTATCCAAGTTTAAAAAACAAGCTTGCACAAGCTCATTAAAATATAGGACAAATTAGCTGAAAGCAGAAATTGGGAGCTGAAAATGGAGTGTTTGGATCACCTTCATCCCGGCATTTTGAAAGAACGGGCACAGGAGATGAAAGATTCAGCAGAAAGGATTTTTAATCAATCTATAAACTCAAAAGCAGAAAAAAGCAAACACAGCGTCTATATTTACAAGGAGAAAAAGCAATCAAGAATATGTCAGGTCCATGATTCTGATCAAAAGCCAGCAGGCTACTGAGAATAATTATTCTTTCCTGCAAAATTCAAACACAAAGGAGAAAACAAATGATCATCAAAGAAGATATCATGTGGGTTCACCAGAGGTAGATTGTGCCAAACTCACTTGTCATCCTTCTTTGACAAGACACGTGATTTTTAAAGATATGGGGAATGCAGGAAGTTTAGATGGACATTTTATACTGTGCCATATGGGTATGGACTTTTGATACTGTGCCGTATCAGTTAAGGAAAAAGGTGGGAAAGGAACCAAGTATGTTGATAGCAGAGATTACAGTGGTCTGTGCTGAATGAAAAGCTATAAGATCAGAAGGTTACTAACGGAGTTCCTAAAGAATGAGTCTTTGGTCAAAGCTTTTGAATTTTTAAAAGCTTTCATACTTGGTATAATTAAATTTATACCAAAAAGCAACCTACTGACATTTGCCAATAACACCAAGTAAGATCATATATGCAGAAAAGGATTGAGACATCGTACAAAAAGAAATGGATGACCTTAAGTGGGTACTGATAATAGCACGCAATTTAGCAACAGACAACAGTAAGACCTTACACAGAGGAACCAATAAAAACAAACTCTCCAATAATGTGGAGCTGTTGATAAAATCAAGGACACACGAGTGGTTAACCTACCTTATCGTAACTGAGTCAAATAGTATGAAGACTTGAAAAAGTTGTTTGTAGGCAAGAAACAAAGTCTTCTCAGAAGCAAAGAGCAAAAACAGTAGTAGAAGAGGCCAGCAAGAATCCTGAATACCATGCTGCAAGCTCAGGTAAAGAAAGATGAACTGAATAGGTGTGTAAAACACCAAAAAAACCCAAACAAACAAAAAAAACCCAAATGAAAAAGGAAGAACAGAGAAATCTGTTTTGTGACAGGAAGCTAAAATATATTGTTTTATCCAGCCTAACAAAATCCTCAGCCAGAACAAGTCTGCTTTCTATAAATACACAAGGAGAGGTAAATTCTTTCCCTGTACACAGCACTGGTGAGGCTGCATTTCAAATCCTGTGTTCTGTTTTGGGCCCTTCACTGCCAGAAAGACATTGAGGTGCTGGAGCAAGTCCAGAGAAGGGACATGGAGCTGTTGAAGGGTCTGTAGCACAAGTCTGATGAGGAGCAGCTGAGGAAGATGGGGTTGTTTACCTGGACAAAAGGAGGTTCAGGGGAGACCTTATCACTCTCTACAATTACCTGAAAAGAGGTTGTAGCCAGGTGAGGGTTGGTCTCTTTTCCCAGGCAGCCAGTGACAGGTTAGGAGGAAATGGCCTCATGCTGCACCAGGGGAGGTTTATGTTGGATATCTGGAAGGACTTCTTTAGGGAAAGGGTTGTTAAGCATTGGAATGAGCTGCCCAGGGAGGTGGTGGAGTCACCATCCCTGGAGGTGTTCAAGAAAAGATTAGATGTGGCACTTAGTGACAAGGTGGTGATCAATCAAAAGCTGGACTTGATGATCTCAGAGGTCTTTTCCAATCTAAATGATTCTCTGATTATGTAAATTCTAGAGAAATATAAGAACTATATAAAATAATGGAAATTATTAGCAGGAGCACAAGTAGGTATGAAGTGGCCATGAATAAATTTTCAGTCAGAAATCAGAAGGCAGTTATATATGATCAAAGCAACCACGTTCTGACACAGTCCCCCCCACTGGCACAACAATGGAGAAATTTAGCCAATTTGAACAAGAAGTTTCTTTAATTTATACATCAAAAAAAAAAGAAAAAGAAAAAGAATACAAGGAGGAGATTTCATTGTCCAAAAAACAATAAAAAAACCTAACACAATTCAAGTCTCATATAAATACACAAAACACTGCAATTTTCTAGCAAAGTACACTGTAACTGCAGCATTCTGGTCTTCTAGCCCAGTCTGTAAAATAACTCATCTCAAGCAACTTAACATCAAATTTCCTATCTCATTATCTCCCTTAATAAATTAAGACAGACACTAACAAAGTACACCATGAATTGTTCCTCCACTGTTTAGTACAATTTGCTCTACAGTGCCACAATTTTTAATTTGACGTGCTGCTGGCAAACAAGCCTGGGCCAAGCATATCAGGGGCACCTCTGTGTTTCTTGGGTTCTGTTCCTCCCCCCAGTATTTGTAGCATTTTAATTAAAAGAGCAACTGGTTGTAACAAACGCAAGAACTGAAGTGCTGGGACTATGCAGTCAGTGAATGAAAATCGCTGGTTGCTGCTGGAATTAATTTATAAACTGGATAGAGAATGGTAGCACTTAGTGGATAAAGTAAATGCCCATCATTCATTATTGTTCAATCACAATGATCTGCACCGGCGCTTGAACTGGATGGAAAACACTACTCTCCTGGGGCAGCAACGCTGTGTTTGTGCTTCCCTCCCTTTAGAGTTAAATTAATGTAAAAGATACTTTGATAGTAAGAAAAATGATCGGTCCTTGGAAGCTCATAAAGATCTATCAACAGGCCATCATCTGTTTGATGCTGCAAAATCTGTAATGCAGACAGCTGCTGTTGATGTATTCAGGGCCAGCTGGATAGAGCTGTGACCTGAAAAACGTGCAGAAAATAACACTGGGCATAACCATGAGGTGAAACAGGTGAAGCATATTCCATTTGCTTTGCTTCTCTCTCCTACCCATTCTGTTGGGTATGAAAAGCATGAAGGACCATTTCTTTCCTTATCACGCATTTGTTAGCACACCACTTCTCCTTACAACATTGATCCATATCTTACTCATGGGGGCTCCAAATGCACAGGGAAAACAGCCCTTCACAGCAAATGAGGCCTAAATGCTGGAGGCCTCCTTGCAACAGTGACTCCTGAAGAACAACATGGGAAAAGACCTGCTAAGGTGCAGAGAAAGTGTAGCTGCTTACCAGAAACCATAAATAATTAAGAGGGAGAGTTCGGGGCCCAAGAAAAAGAATTTTAAAAGTAATTAAAAAAAATAAATCCATTGCAGCAATAACTTTTCGGTTCCTTGCCAACTTCCATCTCTAGCACACCTGCGCAAAGTATGTTCATAATTCTCTGTGGAGCCTTCATTTTAGAGTAGCATGAACGCTGCTGAGCAGTTCTGAAGATAATTTTTGTGTGTTCCATGGTGCCCATTATTGTCAGTCGGTAGCTCACCCAGTTCTGCACTCCAAGCAATCAACCAACCCAAACAACACGCATTTGTCCTATCTTTGCTTATCTGATGCTGTACCATAATGTAGGACATTTAATGTAGGACAGGTCTGTTATTATGTCACTCAGCACACCTATAAGGCGTGCATTTACATACACACACACACTTGACACAGTAAATGAATAAATGAAATAAATACTAGCGACAGAAATCTGTTCCCAAAACACATAGACAATAGTGAAGGGCATATGCAGGGGGATCTTTTACTCTCTACAGCAGAACTTCTTCAAACAAAATGGTAATTGCTGCAGGAACTGAAGAACTGTGTAACTGTAAAACGAGTATTACTGTTACTGAAGAAGGAAATTAAGAGCACAGGCGTTACCTGTGAAATAAATTCTCACCACGGATTTATTGTATTAAAGGAAGTGATTTAACACAGCAGCAATATAAACAACAGATCTTATTGTTAGGATTCAAGATTGGTTGTGGCTGAACACAAAACTTTGTGGTACAGACCAAAGACATGTAGTGCTTACACACCTGAGAAAAAATAATTCCTTATATAAGGAGTGTTTTGCAACCTGACCAAAGGAGAAGCCCTAATACTGCTATAATAATTATTCATTTTAAAGGTAGCATTTCTTTATAACCACTTTCTCTATACACCTGCAAAATCACGTGTCCCCTCCACGAAGATAGTTACATTTACCTGCTGCAAACGGACTCGATTTTGTTACCAAACCGCAACAGCGGATATATTTAGCCACAGTTTCAAATAAGGCCAAGACGATATTGCACACCCATTATCTAACAAGGCGCGATATAGCTGTAAACGTTTTATGCAAATCCCTTAATAGCACAAACATTAGAGAGACAAGACAGTTTCAGTGTCCACTGCACAATTGTGTGCTGAAAGGCACCTTTTATGTGAGTGACACCGATTTAGAAGCAGAATTTTTTTCCTATTCGCTACCCTGACCCCACAGCTTAGCTCGGCCGGCCGGGCGCCCCTCCTGGGTCCGAGCGGTGCCCACGGGCGGCTCTGAGGGACCCCGCGCAGACACGGCCCTCCCGACAGGTCTTCCCGCGGCCGCCCGACGGCGGGGCCGGGCAGCGCGGCACGGCCGCACAAAGGACCGCCCGGCCCCGCCGAGCTAAGCCGTCGCGCCCTCGCCCTACGCGGCGGGCGCAGCGCCGGCCCCGGGCTGCTCCGGGGCGCGGGGCACGCCGAGCACCGCCCCGACCCGCCGCTCCCGCCGGTCCCGCCCGCCGCCGCCCGCTCGCGGCAGGCGCTGCCCTGGGCCGGGCCCCGCGCCCGCCTCACGGCCCGCGGCCACTCCGACCCGCCCGGCGCACGCCGCCCCCGCGGGCCGCGGCGCAACGAGGGGCGGAGAGACCCGGGCCCAGCCCGCGCCGGGTCGCCCCGCGCCCACCTCAAACACCACTTCTTCGTCGAACTCCGGTGTCATCCTTGCCCGCCATGCCACCCCCTCCCCGCGGGCACGCTGGGAAACCGAGTCCGCCGCTCCGTCAGCCGCCCCGCCCTGCCGAGAGCTGCCTGACGCAGAGGTGAACTACAGCTCCCAGAAGGCACGGCGGGAGCCGCCTGCGGGCGGTGCTGATTGGTGGGCGGGGCGGGGCGCGGCCCGGCAGGGGGCGCCGCTGGGCGGTGGTGGCGGCGCTGCTGGCGCTGGCGGAGTCGGAGCCGCGGGGCGGGATGAGGCAGCGGCACAGCGAAGGGGGAGCTGCTCCTGCTGCGGCTCCGGCTGGGTGGCGGCGCGGGGAAACAATGGGCTCCTTCTCCTCGGCCCTCAGAGGGGCCGTAGCGTAAGGGACGAAAGGGAGCGCGGCGCGGCGCCTGGGGAGCACCATGAGCTCCGCTGGTGAGTGTCCGGGGAAACTCCGGAGAGCGGCGGTTCCCGCCCGGCCGGCGGCGGGTCCGTGTCTCCCTGCCCGCGGAAAGCGTCGCGTCGCTCGCCCCGCGGCAGCGGGAACGGGACGGGATGGGGGGATGAAAGGGTTGCGCCACGGGACAGGAGCCGGAGCCGCCGGCGTTCCTTGTCCCGGCAGCGCCGGGCGCTGCGCCCCCGGCTCGCTCTGGGGGAGGCGGGTGGAGAGCGAAGGGAGAGCTGGGGGGCGAACCCTCGCACCCGCTCCCGGCGGGGGGGAAAAGCCCTTCCCGGCCGGGGGGACAGCCCTTCCCGGGGGATCAGCCCGCAGCCCTCGGCACGTCCTGCCGCGGCGGCCGGGGCTGAGCCGGGCGCTCCGCTCTCCGCCCCGCGTGTCCGGAGCGGGCACCCCGCGTGGGGCTGAGCTGGCGGCGGGGGGAGCCTGGTGGGGGCCGGGTGTTCCGGCAGGAGAGCCAGCACCGGGGCTAGGACTGTCGCTCCGTCTGACTCCGCGGAGCTGCAAAAGTTTGTCAGCTGCAGCTTTGCTTCGGGGATGTACCTGCCTTGGCCGGGCTCTTGGAAGCTGGAGCCCCACGGGGGTACGGGAATGCTTTCGCTTCTGGCCTTTCCAGCTGCTGGTTGGAACTGACCTGATTCAGTGCTTTCCTTACCTTTCCTCTCCCGTTTCTTGACCGCTGCCAATTTAATGACTAAAAGAGCTTCGAGGCAAATTCTTGGTTTAAAACAAGAGCTCCCCATGTTTAAGGGAATTGCTCGTATTTTTGTTTGCCTGCACGGTAGTGCGCTGTTAGTACTTCTATTCATCTATCTGTTAGATTAATAGATTCCTTTCTTATCTGCTTGAAGACGAGAATAAGAGTAGTTTCTGCATGGAAAATATGTGGTGTAAATTATGATGTACTGGGTGGAAACACAACTAATTGCAGGGTAAACCTGAAGAAAAAAAAAACCTAAAGAAAACGCAATAAACAGACATCAGGCAGACACATCAACCTGGTTCTCAATGTTTACCTCTCAAGTATGTCAAATTGTTATTGTCTCTAACGGTAATTAAGTTATCTCTGCTCTCGTAATTATTCAGAATTTACTGGAAAATGAAAAGCGATTTAATGCATCTTTCCGCTTCACTTAGTATATTCCCATTTTTAATATATAGGACAGATTTTGTTTAGATTTCAAAAAGCATGTAATAAAGCAGGATATCTCTACTTAACTGGTGCACTGTAGGTTCCCGTTGTTTGGTAATGCCGCTGGTAGTGCAGCTCACCCTTGGTCTTTTAAGAGTTAAACAGCTGTGCAAATAAAAGATAAGTGTTAGGGGGTGCTCAAGAGCTTAGAGCTGGGCTGTTAAAATTTGATACGGTAATAAGTTTCAGAAAGTCGGGCAGATTTTCAAGCACTAAACTGATCTCAGGACTTCTAGAGTTTAGCTAGCGTGACCGAGTTTCTCTGTTTTGGTGTATGTTGTGGTGGTGTGTGTGGGGAACGTGAGGAGAAAGGGGTTTTGTTGAGCAAAATCTCTTAGAAAGCAAAAAAGAAAGGGATGCTGAGGAATATCAGTAAGAAGAAAGTGGAACAATATCATGAAAAGTGTGAATTTTAGCAAGGAATTTGAAGGGGAAGGCATAAAGAGAATCCTAGTGGGTGGGAAGAAGAGGAACATTGAAGGGGGATGAAGGGCCGAGTATTGAAGGGGGGGTGGAGAGTATTTTGTGTGTGTGATGGATTATATGAAGATGAAAAAACAAATGGGGAACAGGTGATACAAGATCTGAGATTCACGATCCTGCTGATAGTATCGTGACAGCTTTTGACATTTCAGTAAAGAAGCTCATAGGTATGAGCAGGGTGTGAAAAGGCTGAGGACTGACAGAAGATTGTTCTGAAGGTTTAGTACCTCTCTCTTGGTATTGCTGCAGAACTTAGTGCCTGAAATATATAGACATGCTTTATAAAGCTATTGCTCACAAAAAATCTTACCAACTCCTGTATTTTAATTTCTGTCCTGTGATCTATAGGATCTATTTCCTATATTGAAATTATTTAACTGTGAATTCACTTGTTACTCTGGTTTGTGCTGCATAAACCAAACACTGCTTCTGTCCATGGACAGAAGTTGCAGAAGGCCTGAGATTGATAACCCAGCCTTAACCTCACTCCGGCTTACCTTTTGCCTTTCTAAATAATGCAGTGCACATTCAGTTTCTTGCTGTGTATCTTTTCTATTTCCTCTACAAATTTGTTTCAGATCTCACTCCAGAGCTGGATGTAATTCAGTGATAGGTGAAGGAATACTGCCACAGCTGTTGCTTACATGTTTTAAAATGTGTATATAAATCTGGACTTGTTGGAACTAAGGAAATATAGCACTTATTTCAAATACTTTTACATAAAGATTATTTTATTGTAGTGATCAACCTGTATATTGATTTCAGTCTTCATTTATAGCTATTCTCCTGTCATTGCTTTCTCATGTCCTGCATATTCTATATGTCAATGAATTCTACAATTGACATATTCTATATGTCGATATTCTACGATGTCAATGAATGTACATTTACTTATTTTCTGCCTGAAACTATTATGCTGTCTTCAAGTATGTTCTTTGCCTTTAAAAGGAAAAAAACAAAAGCTCAGAGTTATGAGTTTGACATTTATTATTTCTTGCTGAAGAAACAGTCCTTATATGTGATCTGTACAGCTTATTTAATGTGGGCAGAATGTATAGCTTAAGCTTGAAATTGGATTTGACAACAACAATGAGAAAAATGTAGTGTATGTTAATGTCAGAAATGTAGTTCAAATGGAAAAAACATAGCAAGAACAGAATAAACAAAATCAACATGACTTTTCCAATCGAACTTCATTGCTTTCAAGGATTGAAAAAAATGAGGCCTCCAGGGTTTAATGTCCCTTTAACCCTCAAATATGTCAAGTCTTGTTAGAGTTACTCAACTCTGTCTCCACAGAGATCTGGAAAGGTTGTTTATTCATCTCTTGTCCTTACTCTAAAGTTATTCCTGACTTTCTTGTTCTATTTCAATAAGTCAGTGAACAATCTGAGATTTTGAAATGGATGTTTTCATTTTGCAGTTTATTTAGGATGTTTTCTACAGCTGTAGTGGCTTAGAAACGATAGTTTTCCCTTGTATTTTACAAACTACATGTATTATCTTCCAGGATGTCATGACTCATTCCTTTTTTTGTTTTTTTGAGCATTATGGCACCTGAGAAAATCAGACCCTCTCTATAATGAAAAAATAAATATACATTTGCAGGAAATAAATTAATGATCTCACAATGCTTTCTGAGGTGTTTACCTAATGAAACTTTCTTTCTGTATCTGAAAGCAAAGTAATTAAACTGAAAAGCCTTGTAACAAGTCATTAACATTCAGGCTGCTGGAGAATGGGAGTTTTAAAATACTGTTTCTCTGTGCAGTGCATTAAATGCTATTGCAATAATGTCTCGGTGTATCCCAAACATATAGCAGTAATTACCTCTCCTCCTACATGCTCTTTAGAAGCCAGACTGGCATTCTTGTCTGTGAGTTGTAGTGTTTTATGCCAGTAGTCTCAGGGTCAGTAAGTTGGCTGTTGGAGCAAGCTCTTCCTTCACGTAAGAAAAAAACAACACATCGATTCCTTGGCGCATTACCTTCTGGGCATTGTATTATTTTCATATGTAGCCTACGGATGTGATGTCCTATCTCTGAGAATACAGTCCGCGTATGTAAACAAGGTGCCGGGAGAAAGCCAATGCCTACATTTGCCTTAGGCCAGCTGCTGAGCGGTAACCGTTTCAAGCCCTTTTCCTAGTACCTGTGCAAGAGATACGTGAAGTAGTATGTGAGATAGATGTCACGTTGTAGGTCAAAAGTGCCTTATTTACTGTGTGGTAAGATAAGAGTATACATATGGCCACCTTCTATAAAGTAGCTGATTTGTTAAACTCACACCTTTCCTTACCCCAGAGTAACTTGTACCTGTACCTTAAGCTTAGGTTCAGCTGCTGTCAAAATCTGGTGTCACGCTGATTTGTTGTTTTACTGTTTTTCTACTGTTTCGTGATTCAGAAAGGATATTGCTTTGGGATGGGTTGCAGGATCATGCCTGGTGTACCTCTTGGGTGACTCAAGATAATCCCATAGGGCACCCTGAATACCAGGAGAGGGGCCTCTGTTCCCCTGGAGCATTGCAAGGAAAGGAATATTAAGTTATGTTATCATGACAGTGTCCAGAACCACTTGTCCCTGTTTCTTGGACAGATGCAGGTGAACATGACTTGTTCTTGCTCTTTATTATTCCCAAGTATAGATTTTGTTAACGTAATCTCAAAAGTATGGGCATAAATATAACATGGGAAAAATATTCCTTTGGCAATAGTAGGGTTTATTTTAAAAGAGATAGTGCTATTTGATTTTTTTGCCTCAGTTCAACTTCATATATCATCTTTACTCCCTATTCCTGTGCTGAGCAGGCAAGATAAAAAAAGGTAAAAATTTGAGGTGAAGAATTTAAAGCTGTGCAATAATAATGCTTAAGATTGTACTGTCTTATTGGCTTTCCTGGTTGTTCACGATAGTGCATAAGAGAAGACACATGAGCTTTTTTGTTTTTAAGTGAGGTCCTCAGCTGTCAAATCCTATAATCTGAAGAACAGAAATGGACAATTTAAGGCCAAAGGATTGAGAGCAGAAGTTGCTTCAGGGTGTTTGCATCCTCCTCTAAAACAAATCAAAGGAAGAGCAGGAACACTTGCCAGTCAAGCAATATCAAGTGTCGGTTGCAGAGGAGCTCAGCAGGATGAGAATGGGTGTTGCTTTTTCCTCAGCATGCTGGAGGACATAATTCACCAGAGGAGCAAATGTCTATTTTCTGTACTGTGACCTGAAGTCAGAGTATATGCATTGACCTGCATAGGTGGTTCTAATGGCTATTTATTGTTAGAAAAATAATGCCCTTTTAAATCCACTTTTTTTAAGGGTGTTGGGTGTTGATATTTTTAAGCTCCTTTTTTTTTTTTCTTCAGCACTGAGTGTGGTGTTGGCTGTTCCTAGATGAGTAGCAGATTTCCTGTTGGTGATGAGAGCATTGCTAGTCACTTTATTTATGGGTTTCTTCCTTTGCTTAGTCAAGCAAGTCAGAGGATATCTCTTCACAGTTTCTCTGGCTCCTAAACATTTAATCTGTTTATGAAAATTAAATTTTGTGTTTCTGCTCTTATATTTGGGTTTACTACTGGTATTCCTGGATGCAGGAATTCTCTCTGAGAAATGGGTGAGGATTGGAGGGGGGAGAGCTTAGTGATTCTCTACTTTCCTGAGAAGGACAAGCCAGAGAATCCAATGTCCAAGCGAAAGTTTCCTCTGAAACTTCTACACATATCAGAAAGTGAGTTTAGGTTGACTGTAAGTGCTTGTGGCTCCTCCACAACCCTAGGTGAGATGTTCCTGTAGTTGATTACCCTTCAGGTTTCATAATGATTTTAGAACTTTGTTCCAAGTTTGAACTTGTCAAATTTCACTGGTCAGCTGTGGGAACTCATCAGGTGTTTTAGCCATCTGTTATCAAAAATCTTTCACATAAGTATATATTCTGTTACCATCTTACTGCTTAAATTCTTGGTTGAATTAAGCTGGATGAGCTTTCTTAGAATTTGAGGCATAATTTTTAGACCTTGGATACTTCTATAGTTATTTCTGAGATTGCCAGAAGGTGACATAGCATGTCATGAACAGTCTGGCATGTGCTATGTGCAGAAATATTTTTGGCTCCCTTCATCTTTTTATATTTATCAGAAGATTATTTACTGCTTAGCTGCAGACCTGCATGGAGCTCTCATAAAATAACTGTCTACATTGATTTCCAAATTCTCTTCATTTTTTACTCTCTTAAGCATATCCAGCCATCTCTGTTCTTAAGTGAACCATTCCATAGGCACCAGGAAAAAGCCCACTGACCAAACAACTCACCACTCCATGCATTTGCTGTATGTTTCCATGATTATATTTATTGTTTTTCACCAAAGAGGCTTGCTTATGCTTGCCATTTAACAAAAACTCATTCTCATATGACTTCTAGTCATTTCTTACACCTTTATATATAAAGAGTTGCCTCCTACTTAGTTTTCTTTCTATTCTGGATGAGAAATTGTCCCTTTTAAAGCACTGTGTTATGTAGAACTGGGTTTTTTTATCCACACACGGCAAATTAAGTTAGTTTATAATCAACTGAACTTTAATTCTTGATTTCTAATAGAAATCTACTATACTTTAACCCTTGCCTAGCTGCTGTAATTTTTTTTCTAAGTAGTTCATCCCTTGTATTTTTCTGAAACTCAAAGATATTTTGTTGAGGAAAACTACTGGTATGCATTCCCTTCTTGGAGTCTTTTCTCTCACGTCACATTTATGTTTGAAAGGGCTCTTCATCACATTCCTTTCTGATTGAGTGGTTGACTGCAGATCTGTATTGATACCGAGACTGTAATGTGCCTGTTAATACATTGAGCCATATCTACTCTAGATGAAATGTGCAATCACTTTAAAGCAGACAGTGGTGTCTTTATTATACCACACAATTTGCCGGTCTCTTCTGTCTGTCCCAATGCTTTTTAACATTGAAGTAATTTAAGGAATTCTAGTAGGCTTCAGAAATCGTATTGAATTGTGCTTATTATCAGAAGTGAATTTTTCTTGCTCTGTTCATTATCCAGGTTTCCGCCATTGGCATATGAACAACGGGTTTGTTTTCTTCACATTCCTGTATATTTTCACGTTTTAGTTTTAAGTCTTATATTCAGGTAGTGGTGTCATGTCATAACTTCTGAGTGTCCTCCATAATAAATACTAGTTGAGAGTCCTGCAGAGTGACTTAGTTTGGTTGCTATCCATAATGTTAGGCAGTCCCACTACTGAGGGAAACTTAGAAGATTTATGGACCTCAGTTTGCAGAGCGGGACAAATAATCCACAGGATATCACTTACCTAGCCAATGTTTAATCTCCTGAGTCTTCAATCTGTTCCTCTCACATCAGGAAGGCTTCCAAATCAAGCTGTCTCTCTCCTGTGTTCAGGGAGCTTTAATAGCTTAATAAATATTACTGAATGTGGCCCAGATCTACTGCTGTGTTCTGTTCTGTGACAAACTGGGCATCCTTTCCTTGTTTTTTACTGCCATCACTTCCTTCTCCAACTGAATAGGCAGTTGCCTTGTCTGAAAGTGAGTGTACAGTTCTCTTCTGCTGTTTGAGATCAGTGTTTACCCGTCCAAAGGGTTAATTGTTTTTTTCCCCTTAGCAAATTGTTGACTCTCCTCTCTGTGGGAAACCTGTCTTTACATGGGAAGCAGAAGGTAGTATAGCCTCGGCAGTAGCTGGTACTTGGGTCACTGTTGTCAGTGGCCATAAGGAGCTGTACCTTTGGAAAGAAATTCTGGGCTCCCTCTTGCAAAATCCCTCAAATGTTTTCTCTGCCATCAGGTTTACCTTTTTGCTAATATAATGGCATCAAGGACAGCTGTTCTGAGTGTAAGCGAAGTCAGTCTGGATACCATCTAATAATTAATGTTCTAGAAAAACACGGGTTTCCTGTTTCTATAGTAGAGACATTGTTTCTGGCTGCCTACTGGCTTACTGTTTGGGAAATACTTGCAACTGAGGGCATCTGCCTTGTTTTATTTTCTTTTTTTTAAATCATTTGGATTGCTTAAAACAAAACAAAAAACCTCACAAAACAAACTGCAACCAGAAAAGGACCCAGCCTGAAAACTTTGAAGCTTGATTCTCATATTTCTAGGCTAGAGATTAGGATACAGTTGCACATCTGTAATAATAATAATAATGGTGATAAAACAACCAAACACCAAACCCACAGTTGAAAGGGAGTAATAAATCAATGGCTTACCCTATCTCTTTGCGTGTGAAACATTAACTAGTGTGTTTTCTTGCGGGTTTTATTTAACGTATGTATCACTTCCTGAAAGTATACCAAAATATTATTCAAAACAAAGGTAATAAGTACAGAGGTAATACATAAACAGCATGAGAAACTCGTTTACTTTATGAATCAATTTGCATATATAAAAAAATCACTGAAAGCACTTAGAAATCTGAAATTATTCCAGCATGTGGAAATGAATTGGTCATAAATAATCTCCTGCAATATTAAAATGTTTCAGACATACCTTAAAAAAAGGCAATCACAAAACAAACAAATCTCCAAACCACTCAAAACAAACAACAGGATCAAACATCCACAATCTACAAGTTCCTCATTAGCTCCTTTTCCTGCTGTATGCTCTCCTCAGGGTTTGTCATCTTGTGCTATCAAGTGGGTGGTAAGTCATAGCAGTGGTGACTGCTTCTAGGTCAGACAGTAACATGTTGGGAAGAGTAATTTCATAAATGGTATAGAAATAGCGTTTTACAATAGAAAAGTAGTGACTTGCTCCAAATTACTGCATTAACTTCACACCACAGACTCATTTCACTGAACTGTCGGTTTTGCAACTGGTAGAGTAATCCACCTCAATATTGTTTAAAGAGAAGAGGAAGGGAAAGAGGAATTTTAGGTTACACATTTCCAAAGGTTGTGGGGGAAGGGACAGAACTGCCCTGGTACTTAGCCTAGCTGTCCCATTATCTTCATGGCTTATTATACGTGTGGCACTTAAAATACTTACACCATTTAAAAAAGATATTATAATAGTTCAAACTGCAAAACCAGGCTAATCTGCTCTGCTTTTATTTAGCATCATACTTTAGCATCTGAGCAAGGACATACACTTAATATTAAGTTAAACTATTTGTTAACAAAAACTTACCTTTGAAGACTTTTCCTACCACTCTTTGTTGTGCCTATTCAAACAAAGAAAGGCAACTAGTAAAAAAGTGGTGTTATGGGAGGGAGGTATGCTTTTAAGAGGAAAAATGTATTTATACACACACTGGGATCTTGTAGATCACAAGTTAATATTACAAAACTTCCAATAATACTGCAGTGCAGGTGAAGTTGTTTTGTAGGCAGTGGTGACTAAAGTCTTTGTTTTCCATTTTTCCTAGAAATTAAGAAGCCACCAGTGGCCCCCAAACCAAAATTTGTGGTAGGACACAAAGCAACACCTCCACCTGTTGCACCGAAGCCTGATGTTGTACTTTCTGGTGTGATACAAGCAGCAAGGAAAACCAAGCCAACAATTGCACCAAAACCAAAGGTTCTCAAGAGCTCATCCATTCCTGAAGTTAAACCTCCATCGTCTAAACGAAAAAGCACAAAAAGCTTTGAGGAGCACAGGGAAGATTCTTCTCAAACGCTAGACCACTTGAACTATAAAAATGAAACCTCGGAAGGGAGCACTGGCAACACAACATATATTCTACCTGTGTCATCTTGCAAATTTGAATGCCTTCATAAACTTGAAAGTGGAGAGAAAACCTGTAAAACTCAGATCATTCTTGAGCACTTTGAAAACTTAGAGAACATCAAAGCTGTTGAAAGAAATGCAGCATCTCTGGGTGATAGTCACAATGAAAAACTGGGAAATAGAAGTCGGGTGGTTTTGAAAGCCAGCATTTCGGAAGAGAAGCTTAAGGATGTCCTAACTCACGGTGTATTTCCTAACAGCAGTCCTGTAAGGGATAGGCATGCAGACAAACTTGACAAAGGGGATGGTAGCAGTTCCAAGAACGTTTTTAAAATAGAGTTTATGGAACTTGTACAGTCTTCATCATCTTCTGAGGTAGCTAAAGGGAAGCAACAAAATACTGATAGTAAAATCATTGCTGATGAGTTTCAGATGTCTGAAATTTGTCCTAGTTTGACTGAAAATAACCACAGTTGTTATTGCCCATTGGACCAGGAAATCTTAGAAAATGAAAATTTAAGTAGCAATAGTATGTTTTCAGGTGAAGTAGGGATGAAAGCAGGTGCTAATAAAGCTTCCCCTGAAACATCTTCACTCTTGAGCTCAAAAGTGCTTCCTATCCCTAAGCCAAGAAAGCCACGTGCCGCATGTCTGGTCCGTCAGGATGGCATAGACACCACAGGAGAAGGAACAAAGGAACCATCTAATCCAGAGAAAGATTCCTATGGGCTTGTGGACCAAAGCTTTAAAAACCCAGCAAAAATTAATGTCCTTGGTCAAAGTGTTTGTTATAACAATAATACAGAAGTGCTTCATCCTGAAAAATGTGAGATAACTCGAAGCAATGCAGACAAAATGCATCATGTGAAGGAATCTGCTGTGGAAGATTCAGCTTCACAAAATCTTTTGTCTCAGTTGTTACACAAAAGTTCTGATTTAGTGGGAATTGTTGAATGCTCTTTAGATACAGACCATAAGTTAGTTAACTCAATGGATGAGGTAACAGATGACAGAAGTATGCCAGATGCTGTGGACAAAAGGACTAACTTTGTCAGGTCTGATACTTTGTCCATGAGTTTGCCAAAGCAGCTCAAATTGACTTGCAGTCAGCACTCATCTGCTTCCAGTAGCCTCCACATATCCCCACAAAACTTGGAAAATAAAGAAGTTAAAATAAAGGATGAGAATTCTCCAAAAGTTGTTCCTAAGAAACCACAGAGGCACAGTCTTCCAGCTGCTGGCCTTCTGAAAAAAGCTGCCTCAGCAGAGCTTGTGGACAAAAGTTCCTACACCTCCAGTGAGAACAAATCAAACAGTGTTCTGGAAGGATCTCACTTCACACATCCACGAGCCAAGGAGCAAGGTGCGCTGTCATCCTGTGATATACCCAAACGTTCTGAGAAACCCGTTTGGAAGTTACCTCATCCTATTCTTCCATTTCCAGGAAATTCTGAATCATTAAAAACTGCTAATATTGCTAACAGCTTCAACCACTTCACTGTTGTGACAAAGCCTAGGGCCAAGTCTCTCTCTGCTGTGGACATGGACAGGACAGACAAGCCCTGCAAAGACCATCAGAAGAAAAGTAGCTTGAAAAAGTTTCTGAACATGAAACTATCAGTTTGCTTAATGAAAAGTGACTTCCAAAAATTTCTGTCTAAAGGCAGCCAGTCAGTGGATAGTGCTATTGCCAACCTTTCCACTGGGGACGGCTGTGGAAGTGGTAACAACAGGAATATAGCATCTGTAGGCAGTGAAAGGAAAGCGAAATCTGCCAAGGTGCATTCTGTAGAAATAAGTAGTCCGGCGCTACAGAAGAAGAGGCAGAGAAACAGGAGTCAACCTGAGATGCGCAATAACCAAAGGCTGGAGTCTTTAGACAGGCATTTACTTTTGGGGGAGAATCTGGCACAAACGCGTTTGAATTCTGTAACCAGCACCTGTGCTCCAGAGTATGAGAATGTGCGTCACTATGAGGAAATACCTGAGTATGAGAACTTGCCTTTTGCTGTGGGTGCTAGGAGAAATCTCTGTTTTGAATGGCAGAACTCCAGCAGCGTGGAAGACCAGGGCACTGGCTTCTATGAGGCTGAGGAACTTAGCGAAGCTACAAACAGGCGTTGGAGACTTGACAGGTAAAACAAAAAGCAAAGGGGAGTTAAACAACTCCATTGTAACTCTGTTGGTTGTAAATATGGTTAAATGATGACTTGGGAGGCTGTACCCTTTTCATTAAATATCAGCAAGACAGTTGTTGCTGTATATCTTTCTGTATACTTTTGTTGTTTTGAAAACTGCTTGCACTTGACAGAGAGTCAAGGGGAAAAGTAATCTAATTATTCCTCATATGTTCCTCAAAACTTGGAAAACTTACTTACGTGCTTTTTCAGATTTAATTAAAGCAAATCAGATACAGTCATGTATTTATATCCCCTTCAATGGGGAGGAATGAACCTTACTAGTCTCAAGATGAACTGAAATAAGCGTCCGTAGAGTACATAGTTGCTAGGTTTATAGGGAGAATGAATATATTTTTAGATCAGTTGATAGAGCTGGGAAAAGCAGACAAGCTTTTGGGTATGTAAATTCTTCGTCAGGTCTTGAAAGCTTTTTTGGGTATAACAGAAGCTACTGCCTCTTCCTGAATATAGTGAGCCTTCTGTATCTGTCTGCTCCTAGCAAAGGTGGTAGTGAAGCACGATTTCTGTGTGATTCATACAGGGTATTAGTGTGATGGGGTTTGGTAAGTCTGCAGGTTGCTGCTGTGCTTCTTTGTCTCAGGAGGTGGTAGAGACAGATAATACCAACAGATTTAAAAAGGAATTGGACAAATTCATAAATATGAGGGAACGTCCTCCTATTACACCAGGGGAGGTTTAGATTGGATATCAGGAAAAATTCCTTCACTGAAAGGATGGTCAGGCATTGGAATAGGATGCCCAGGAAAGTGGTGGAATCGGGGTGTCTGGAAGTGTTCCAGAAACGTCTAGATGTGGCACTCAAGAGACATGGTTTAGCAGTGAACATGGCAATGCTGGGTTAATGGTTGGACTTAATGATCTTTGATGTCTTTTCCAACCTTAATGATTGTGTGATTCTATGTCCAAAATGGGTCCTAAATGGAATAGGCAGGAACAGATCTTTTAATATTTGTATTCCTGTGACTGTGGATTTTGGGAAGAGGAATGGGCCACAGAGAGTGGTTGGGCTTGTATGTTCTCCCTAAATAACATCACTTAGTTTGTCCATCAGTGTGATAACAGGTGAAGTGTTGTTTTGACTCAATATGGTATAATTCAATTTTTTAACTTCAGCCAATCAGTTTGTCTTAGAGATCCTAAAAATTTGTCTCAAAGCAGCAACAAGGATTTGAATGAAATACGTGGCCTATATATTTCAAAGTCCTCAGTAAACTTCTTTACACTGTGCATAATGACAGGAATAAATGAAACAGCTTAAGATAGTCACACTTAACTTCATTTTGTCACTGAGAGTTACTAAGCTGTGTTTCATTTTGGATGTATGTATAGCAAACACATGCCCCAAAAAATCTGGGACTTGGTCATTCTTTGGGGGAGCATGTTCTCTTATATAGGAAGAGACAAATATATTAAGGGGCATCCCATGTTAATAATTGTTTTTAGAGTTAATATTATCAACATGGGACTGTTTGATGGAAAGCATGAAGCCTTATCATGGAAAGTAGGATTTCAGGTTACGGGCTCCCCATTGGTATATTTATTCATGTGGTTGTTCAGAATTTTTCTTGTTTATAGCAGGGTATTTCTTGGGTTTGTCTTTGGTATACTTTAAATTCCTGACTGAATGTATGCTTTTTGTTTAAATCCAATATTTGGATATCTTTCAGGGATTTTGATCATGCTCTCTTGGAATTCACTTGATTTGATGTACCTAGGAAGGGTGAGACCAAATTTAAATAAGGACGTATTTTATGTGTTTATGTGATCTATTTTGCTTTGTGTTATGTGGTTCTGAATCCAGGTGAGAATAACTGTCTTTGCTTTAGGAACAGGATAGTTTTGCTGTATTAAGCATGGTTGACATGAGATTGCAGTTGCTCCTTTAGTGAAATCCCATAGTTTTCTTACCTGGCTGAGTGCGTGAGATTTATAGTTATTCCCTCGCCACAAAAACTTTCCCCAGTACCAATGGTGATATGAGGATTTAAGTGGTCTCCCTGCCACATCTGAACCTGCTGCTCCATAAGCTGGATATTCTTGGCACAACTGGGTTTGTGTTGTGTTTTTCTTTAAAAAGCACACATAAAAAACCATAACCAGAGCCATTTAGGTGTTTATTTTAAACTAAATTACATAGTTGGAAACTACCTTAGGAAATAATTAATGTATTCAGTTACTTCAATAGATCTTAGGGAACAAAGAAATCCTTAGGGAAAATGGGTGACACAAGGATACAGTGGTCTCCAGACCCAAATCAGCTGCTGCTGGAAGAACAGGGACTAGTATTCATTTTGGCTCTACCCTGGGGGTTGTAAGGGTCCTCGCCCAAACACAACCAGGCAAGCAGCTTCTCCAGCTTTCCCATCCATTGTTATCTCAAATCCTTTGAAGCTTCTTTATCAAAGTTGTCTTACCCTTTCTGCATAGTTCTGTAAGAGCCTTTTATCATTTTCTGGGCCAGGTAAATGTTAGAGAAACAGTGCTGCTGTTGTTATTGAAATAATAGCTGCTCGCATTTTCCCCAGCCTGTCAGAACACGCACTTAGCTCTTTTTCATAGATCATGGCACATAAAATTCCTGTAATGCACTGCTAATGGGGATTTCAAAGCAAATTATGTTATGATTAAAGCCAATGCACAAATGAGATTGTTCTTCTGAGAAATTCAGACCAATTGCCTGCGCTTCTAGTCGTAATAGCACATAATCAGGATATTAAGTCTGAATGCCAGGCTTGCCATTACCAGAAGAGTTCAGTGGTGTCTTTACCTCATGTTACATTTCTTGCTGGGGGAAGAAATAAAGTTTTCATAATGTACCCAGTGTTTTTGTGGTTACTAACAAATTTCCTCATGATCCCATTCTCATGAAACCAGTATGCTTTAATGGAGAATGGTAATGGCTTCTGACACTCTTACCTGAACTTCATATGTCTTATTTAATTCAGATATGTTTTGTTTGCTTGGGCCTTCCCGCAGGGGTTTAAATGCAAATGGCAGGCCTGAGTAGTTAATGGTAGGTATCAGTTTTTACTTACCACTTGATTTCTGAGTTATTTGATGTCAGCCTCCTTTCTATTGGAGATGGGCTTGGCTTTGGAAGGAAGAGAGCCCAGGGTCCTGATATGTTGTGTGAACCACCGAGGTGGGACAGGCACTGCTGACAGGAGACAGGTGGGTTTAGTTTGTTAAGTAGTTCAGGAGAATATTCTCAAAGTAATGACAGTACCTTGGGAGCGGATAATCCATGTTTTGTTTCCACTATACAAAAAGAAAGTCTTTTGAAATGGTTTTTAAAGATGGTTTATTTTGCCCTAACCTACCTGTTTGACTGAAAATTTAAAATGGAAAATTTATGTGAATGTGTTACTATGAGGACTCTTCAAACAAAGTGAGTGAAGACTAGATGCTATGGGATAGAAAAAGTACTGGTAAATGTAAAAGAGGTTTTAGATATCACTATCCAGTCACAGATAACAACATGGAAGGCAGCTCTTTGGGTTTGGTGTGTTTTGTGCTTTTTGGTTTGGTTTTGGTTTGTGTTTTGTTTTGGTTTTTTTTTTATTATTTTTTTTAGAAAAGAATGGTTTGGGCACGAAAAGTGAGGTGAAAAGTCAGTGATGCTGGTACCACCACAATTCATTTTAATGTTGTCAGAGACCATTAGTTGTAATGATTCTGCTTTGAAGTAACACCATTCTTTTAAAACTTCCTAATGAAGGAAAAATATTTATGCATTATTCTATTCATAATATTTATGGTTATTCTAGTTTTAGTGAAAAACTTTTTATTGAAGAGGACAGCAAAATGTTCCTTACAAACTAAAAGTAACATTTAATGTACACTGTCCAGTAATCTAAAGATGCAAAGGAACAATGAATGTGCCTAGGAACATCTGTCATGCTGCAGCAAACAGAAACTTAAACTTTTTTGGATCTTGTGGCCTTCCTTTTGGTATTTGTTACATTGTTCTAGGCAAGAGAATTGTATTTCAGGTTGAGTGAGTCTGCTCCTGCACCGTTCCGGGAATAGCATACTGTATTTACTGGCTACTCTTGACAGTGTTCCTTCAAGATGTTGAAAATGTTGTTAATTGGTTTTGACAAAATTTATAGCTGTATCGTGTTTCTGGCTAGAATTTTTCTTTGGAAAGGGCGAGGGAGGGAGGAGTACCATGTAACAACAATCCTTTAAAATCTTAATGGTGGTATAATTGAATATTACTTCTTATTTTCCCCATACCTGCTGATTTAGAATAATCTGTTGGTTTTCCAGAAATGAGCATCTCAGTGCAAAATGTAAGTTTGGTTTTCCATACTAAATTCTGCTTTGGTGACTGAGTCCCCAGAGGTCAATTAAGTGTCCATGAAAGCCTTCCTGGAATATTGTGTTTCATATTGAAAGCTGTGTGGTTAAGCACTTTGCTTTGATACATATTCCTCTTTGATATACTGAACTTTGTTAGAGTTGAGACATGCTTCTGATGAGCAGTATTGCACCAGATAAATATGGTGTTGTTTAGGGATTGGCTGTGTTTAGGAAGGGGTTTTTTTGCAATTGCAAAATTTCCATTCACAAACACTAAATTAATAAAATACTGCAGGGTCTAAATAGCATTTAGAAAGAATGTTCAAACACTTATGCTGAGATTTGAATGCACAAAATACATTTTAGGTATTGGAGGTGTTATACGTTAAAAACCACTTTTTACTGAATTTTATTGAAGAACATCATTTCTTGATAAGTAGAGGCTAAGTATGTGAATTTTTTTTTTTAATTTCATCTGTTTCCTAAAGATTATAATGGATTAGTTTCTGATCTGAGGAAGGTAGGTTCCTTCTCTTGCATCAGCGGTCTTGTCCTGTCTTCAATATCCCCTGTACTTCTAGCTGGCTTCTGCCACCCTTAATTGTACATAAATTTCTTTCTTTGCAATT